AAGCACAATCACGGCTGTGGATTTTTTACTCATTGTTCTGGTTATTCACTTGTCATAAGTGTTCGAGATTTCTCTCACGGAAGGCAACTGCAAATTAATTGGAGTTTTTTTCTTAAGCAAACAAGAATTACGCTAACTTAGAGGAGGAATAAAGTATTTGCACGTTCGATCTTTATTTTTTGACAGGTCTCATTGATCTTTAACTCGAGGTGTTTTCGCTTAGGCACGATTCCATGAAATTAAAACGGGAATGTAGTTATTCCTGATGTTATGGCATCCCTAACGTTCTTTGCTTTAGGGAAATCTCCAGAAAGTTACATGTTCTTTCCTGTCATCAAGTGCAAGCCTTCAAGTCCCGAACGTAACAGCTACCTCTTCTCATTCCCTAACGTAGCGAGCACCGGAGAATAGTGGATAAAATTTTAAGGCTTAGCAAGTCTCTAAGGTAGAGACCTTCCAAGGTAGAGAAATAAGTACCTCGGATGTCATTTTACTTCCATGGAAATAACGATAGGAAAATCATACGGAGCACAATACAATTAATAAACTGTTGTGATGTAATTTGTTTGCAACGATTTTGTCCCTCTTTGTCTCTAAATTACCGTATGTACTTCTATGAACTAAAAAGTTAAAGTGCACCTAACCCCCCAAATTTTTTTTCGCTAAAACGAATCCATTTGTTATTTGAAGCATTTGGACGAAAAAAGTGTTGAATTTGGTTGAATCCTCGATTTTCTATGCCCTTATGCAAATTGCTGGTTGGCTTTAAGCAGAAAATTTTGAAAATAGCGTTTGAAAGTCTGCGGAGCAAATTCCAGTGAGAGTTCTTCAATGGTTCTCACAGACTCAGTTCGCTTGTTTCGGCTCGACAAAATCAACCATCGTTATGTCTTTATTGTATCATTGACCGATCATCACCAGTAAATTGTACAGTATATCTTTTTTAGATCTGGGATATTGCTGCAACAGCCGATAGCACTTCTGGAAGGCATTTCTGCGCACTT